AAGAGCCTAAATACAAACTATAAAACCAACAGCTTCTGTAGTCAAAGCATTACGGCCAGCCTCAAAATCTGTTAAATGAAAGAACTTTTAAGATAAATGAGGAGGAGTTAATCTGACCAATCTGCGCAGGCCACTGGGAAGAGCCATACTTTGTTCCCATCCCAAACCAAAGTATATCTTGTAAGCTTACATGCACAAGACAGACAAGAGTTCATTGGGAAAAGAGGACTCTGTAGGTAAAAGAATATTATCACTGGTACCTGGATTTTCCTTCTCCATTTTTCCCTATAACACAATGTTGCTGGGTAGAGAGGCAGCTATTGGCCGAAAGTCACCCAAGTGAGCTTCTGAAAATGGACTTAAATTTGAGTAAGCTGAAAAATCAACCCACATTACCTCTCCACTTTAATTTTCAAGCAGCTCTGTCGTTGTTGTATTCTTTAAAGAGGTCCTGGAAATAAATGATCATTTATCAGTTAAATACAGTAAACAAACCTATCTGCAAACACTAAAGATCTGTGCTTGAATGAGAAATATCAGAGCTATAAGAAATAAATTTAAAAATCCTAGAAGATAGTAGCAGTCTGTTCCATATACCTTAAAACAAAATTACACAGGTGTGCCATGAAAATACCAAAGTCAACCACTTTTTCCTCCCTTCATATGGTATTTTTAAGGAGCTTAATTAAAATATCTGCAACCTTCTCTCATACTCTATTACAACTGCAAAAAGAGAATCATTATTACTTTATGCCCATTTTTAATTTTTAAAAAACTTCTGCACTTTCTTTGCCAGCATTCTTATGAACTTTTCATAAGGAAGCCTGTGACCTTGAAAGCCTAACAATTATTATGGGACACTAAATTAGCCACATATTGATTTATCATGCACCATCATGTTATTTTGTTATTCCTAGTGATCTCTACGATGATCCATCCCTAACTTGGTCTTTTGGGTCTTCCAACGGTGGATTAATTGCCATTGTAACTGAATATGCACATCTTGTTGCTGGTCATCCTCTACGCTTTCCTTTCACCTTTTCCAGCACTAGTGCTTTCTCCAGGGAGTTAGGTTTTGCAGAATGTATCCAAAGTAGGATAATTTGAACCATTTGTCCCTCAAGTGACAATACTGAATGTTCCTTAATATCTATTTGGAGTTTACCTTCCTATTATCCTTTGCTTAGAAGTAATAAATTGTTCAAATTATTAATGAAAGCTTGTTCACCCCTGCACTTCTTTTGTTCACAAAATCTCTGCCTCCTTAACCGCCAACCGCATTGGCTAATCCTGGGATTAGCCTTGCTGTAATTCTTAATACATTTAAAATATCAATTAAGTAGCCCAGGAGAATATCAGAAACCCTTCAGTTTATGTAATAACTTAAATGATAGTACATGATGCATGAAAAGAGGAATTTTCATAATAATGAATTCATGCATCTAAGCTATAATATTTACAGGTTTATAATAATGAAATAGAGGAAGTACTTCTAATATAGGTAGTCCTTGTCTTATGACCAGTTGGGCCCAAAATTTCAACTGCTAAGGAAGACAGTTGTTGAATTATACTTCATTTTACAATGTTTTGGTTGTTAAGTCAATCTGGCTTCCCCCATTGACTTTGCTTGTTGGATGCCAGTTGAGAAGGTTGAAAATGGCAATCACATGACCCCAGGACACTGCAACCATCATAAATATGTGTCAGGTGTCAAGCACCTGAATTTTGATCATGTGACCATGGGTATGTTGTCACAATCAAGTGTGAGAAGTGGACATAAGTAACTTTTTTCAATGACATTGTAATATCTAATGGCTGCTAAATTGTAAGTCGAGACTACCTGTACTATACACATACTTTTACTGTTACCCACTGTTGGGAGTTACAAAGTTACTTTTTAAAATATATCAGAGAGAGAGAGAGAGAGTGGGAGAGGGAGAGAGAGAGAGAGATATACCGTTTCCCTGAAAATAAGACCTATCCCGAAAAGAAGGCCTTGCCTGTTTTTAGCATTCCGTCTGGTTGCTCACAGGGCCATGGCCATGAGGCGAGGTGGTAGAGCTTACCTCAAGGCTCCCACAGCCACACCATCCATGCTCTGACACCTGCCCTGTGGCGGCATACCAGCAGCATGTGCAGCAGGAGCCCCCATGGCTGCTGACCCACTTCAGCTGGGTAGGGAGAGGGAGAAGGAGAGGGGGAGGGGGAGAGGGAGAGAATATGTGTATGTACAGGTACTCATAGTCCTCGACTTACAACAATTAAGCCCAGAATTATTGTTGCAAAGTGAGAAATTTGTTAAGTGAGTTTTGCCCCATTTTATGACTTTTCTTGCCCCATCTGTGAAGTGAATCACTGCAGCTGGTAAATTAGTAACACAATTGTTAAGTGAATCTGGCTTCCCCATTGATTTTACTTGTCAGAACATCACAAAAGAAGATCACATGACTGCGGGACACTGCAATCGTCATAAATATGAACCAATTATCAAGCAGCCAATGTAAGTCATGTGACCATACTGCAAACATCATGAGTGTGAAAAATAGTCATGTCACTTTTTTCAATGCTGTTGTAACTTTGAATGGTCACTAAATGAACTATTGTAAATCGAGGACTACATATATATGACTTTGAAAAAAGTGACATGACGAATTCTCATATATATGAAACCTGTTAATTTACCTTGGAAACATTCTAATCCAACCCCCTGCCCATGGCAGGAGGTCCTATACCTATACCATTCTGGGCTTTCTGATGGGATAGATAGACGTAATCACAGAAAGAATAACAGAAAACCAAACAGAATAATAAAGCACCAGAAGTCCTCCTTTTCAATCCTCTATTCAAGCAGGAGACCCTATATCATTTCAGCCAAATGGCTGTCCAATGTCTTCTTTAAAACTTCCAGTGATGAAGCACCCACAACTTCTGGAAGGAAGCTGTTCCACTGGTTAATTGTTCTCAGTGTCAGGAAGTTTCTCCATAGTTCTAGGTTGCTTCTCTCTTTGACTAGTTTCCATCCATTGTTTCGCGTCCTGCTTTCAATTGCTTTGGACAATAGGTTGACCCCTCTCATCTTTGTGGCATCTCTTCAAATATTAGAACACTGCTATCATGTCATCCCAGTCCTTATTTTCACTACAACGGTTCCTGCAATCGTTGTTCATAAGACTTAGCCTCCAGGCCCCTAATGAATTTACTTACTTTTCTCTGCATTCTTTCCACAGTTCTCAATGCATGATACAATATTTCAAGTGTGATCTTATCAAGGCATTATAAAGTTGACATTAGAAAGAATAGTATTATCTGCTACTAGCTTTAACTCGTTTTTGGCAACCACATACTTTCTCCAGCCAAGATAATTAATGACCAACCATTCCAAATGCATACAACAGTGGTCTAACAGTTGAATCTGCAAGATCTTAAATTATAGAATCCAGACTAAAATTCCAAATAAGATTATGAATCATTATGAATCAAAGCTGGAACAAAAGAACTCTGGCACACTTCAGATTAAGAAATACACACACACACACACACACACACAAAGCTCATTTCATTTGACTATGTGAATAAAGGGGGGGTTGCATCTATTATAAAATATATTACTAAAATGACAACTCTTATTATATTAAAATAATGTATTATGCCTTTAGCTTTATTACAAAAAGAAAAAGGGACCAGCGTTTTCCTTTACCTAATAATAAACAGTCAGCAAGTCACAAGAATGTATTCCAAGAATACCTTTATGGATATGATTGCCAAGCAACTGGCTATATTTTCATAAAATTTCATGACACATAAATAAGTGGCATTAATTCTATGTGTATCCGGTACACTTTAAGGATACCCTAAACTAGAAAAGAACACAATACAATGTTCCAAATATTTTGCTTGGGGGAGAGGTATGTTCATCTTCAGAGAAGTTCCTGAAGTTCCTGCATGAGTCCGGAAGCTTGGAAGACAAAACCTCTGGTCCCAGTAACCAACACAGATTGGATCCTGCAACAGTATCCGCGGACATGTATATTTGCCTTCATTCATGAGAAGACTTTGAATTTAAACAGACATGTTCTAATTCCCTCTTTTCTGGTTCTAAAGGAATTAACTATTTGCAAGTTCTATGATGCTTATTTAGGGGAAAGAGAATAGAAAGTAACACTCTTCTGAATTTTGAAGAAATAAATAGTTAGCAAATCGAAATTATATCATGGAGGGGACAAGACATCTATAAAGCCCATATTTATATCTTTCTGAATTACAGTTCAAAGACTACATTTTAGCAGGTTGTTGCTGGATTAACTCCACAATTCTTTCACTTCTCTCTTAAATCTTCAGATGCATCCTCTCTTCCCAGCCCCACCCACCCCCATCCAATCTCTGGATTGATCGACTCCCCAAAGTGGGCGGGGAAAAGAATAGACCGCACTACCAACCACAAGTGATTGGCATAATCGGACAAGCCCCTCAAATGTAGTTACTTAGGAGGGGAGGTGGAGAAGAGGAGGAGAAATATGAACTCCACCCTTATTTTATGATGCAATGTGGAAAAGACAGAGCTCCAGTGCTAAGAAGCAAAGTTTCTAGCCCTAACGCTTGTTGGCTTTTCTTTTCTTTTTTTAGTAAAATGAGCGAAGATTTGTATCACCCGTTAAGAAACACAGCACGTTTTGGGCATTTCCAATAGGTTCTATAAATTTTTAGTCCCTCCCCACTAAACAAGCGGTGCGCGTGCCAAAAAGAGAGGAAGAAAGGAGAAGGCGTGCTTATTAAACGTAAGGGAATTTACTTCTCAAAACACAGCTCAAGGCACCCAGCTACCCAATCGCAAGCAAAGGGCCTCGAATTACTGCAAAAAGACCCCCGCCTTTCTCACAGAACCCCCGCTCCTCCACACCACAAGGCGCCTTGTACTCAGTTGCTAGCCCACTCCTCAACCACTGCAAAGAAGCGGAAAGCGAGGCACGATCCAGCCTCTCACTTTTTCAGGCAAGACTTACCTGCCAGGTTTCGACCTCTCCTCCAATGGCCCCTCTTTTTATCTTGTCGCCTCCCTTTCCTCCTGGGCGACGGAGAACTCGAGCGAACTGGGCACCCCCGCCCCCTCTCCTTCCACACTCTCTTCTGACCGTGCAGATCGGATCAAGTTTAGGGCGGACTAAGAACGACGTGCAAGAAGAAAAAGAACCGGGGCAAGCAAGGAGGAGATCCTCTTGCATCAGCACCCGGAACTTTCTTGGAGGCGAGGGGAGACAAAAAAAGAAACTTCTGCCTTCCACACGTACACAAAAACCCACGTACAAATAACCTATCAAGTCCGGTAGGAGTAAGAAGAGAAGTAAGAATCTGAGGGTAGAGTCTTCTTGTTCTTTCGCGAACGTATATTTACCGTTGTTTATTGGCTTTCGTCCTCAAAGTTCCTTGTATTAAATCGGGACTATTTGCCCGAGCCGCCGCTGCCGCCGCCCGCTAACACTTACTTGGTTGCTCAGCTGACTCTTTCCAACTCACAGACGTTCCCCTCCCTCTCCCCTTAACTGGGCCTTAAGCCCTCCCATCACCGCGCCTCCCGCTGCCTGCTTTACGCAGTCGCAAGCGATAGTTCCTCGGCCATGTATGTTTCGGGAGTTCTTCCAGCGGATTCTAGGAGCCTGTAACTTTTTCTGAGACTGAAGAGCTATTGCCGTTTTCCCACGTAGCCAAGGAGCGCGTGCTGACGCGCGCGCACGCCTCGGCACAGAAAAGTGTAGCCGAGCACGCAGGACATTACAGGCTTCCTTAATATGGTTGGGTTTGGTGTGGAATCTGAGTTTAGCCTCATTTCGTTAAATTTGGAATGTTTTGCAAGCGAATCTGGGAGTGATGCCTCCTTGTGGGAAGCGGAAATCACTTCCCAATAAGCATATGTGGGTTAGCTAGTAGCAAATATTCTTAGAACAAAATATAAAAGTCTTTTGTCCAATCACACTTAACTAGTAGTTAACTGCAGGCCGCATTGTTTCTCCCTTGAGCACATTTTTGATGCAGCCTGCTCCAACAAGAGATACAAATCCCCCCCCCATACACACACACACACACACACACACACACACACACACACTTGTTGGCACATATATAAAGGAAGATACTTAACCCAGGGCCCAGTTTCATTCTCTAGCTTTTGGTATCTTTAGATGGGCTAAGAAGTGCTCCTAAAAGCAGAAGCAGATAACATGGAGAAATAAAAAATAAATCTCATTAATGTTGCCTGCTGAATCTATTATAGCTAATCGGAAAATTCAAGCTAAATTAAATCATTGAGAAAAGGAAGTCTTATGTTAGAAAGGACAGCCATACAGAACATTGGGCATGTCTTCCCAGAAAGCACTTTAATAATTATTAGTCCTCCAACTAAAAAAATCATACAATCTCCTTTGTAGGCAGCTGCTCAGTTCAGTCAGAAAAAAACAAAAAGGCTGCGAAAACCTGTGTATGTTCAAGCAGTTGCATTCAGGAGAAGTTATTCCTTTGCAGTCTGAAACAATTTGTATAGAAACAGAACCACTTTCATGAGCAAGGCCAACTATGAATTCCAATTTAGAAGGATAATGTAGTTGATAGTATTGAAAAGCTTCTGGGATACGTGAGAACCCAGACAGCTATAGTCTTCATATCTTTGTTCACAACCATAGAAAGTACTTTGATCACCTCATGTTTTTTCTCATAAAATTTGCATAAACCAGACTGAAATAAGTCTATAAATCAAAAATCATTCAAAAATGTCTAGAGGGTAAATAATCACTCATCAGCAGTAACTGTGAGAAGAATTTCAGTTCTCTTTTTAATAAATTTACAGACATTTCTAAAATTCTGTTTTCGCTTTGTCGTTATGGGTATTGAGTATAGATTAATGAAAAAAAATGAATTTCAACTGAATCAGGCTGCAGCATAACAAAATTGTCAAAAGAGAAGGTCTGACTGAATACTTTCTGAATGCACTGTAGGTATGGATTCTAGTGGACAATCACTTGTGAGTGAACAGTATGCTGAAGCTGCCAAAAAAGTCAATGCAGCCCTCCATCAACAGAAGGATAGTATCAAGATCACATGAAGTGATTGTATTGCTTTATACCGTGTTGGTAGTACCATACTTGGAATACTGCATCCAGTTTTGGTCAACATGATACAAAAAATGATGTTGAGATTCTAGAAAGAGTGCAGAGAAGAGCCACAAAGATGATTATGAGATGGGAAGTTAAACCATACCATGAATTGGGAACTGGGAATGTCTAGCGGCCTAACAAAGAGAAAAATTAGGGGTGACATGATAGCAATCTTCCAATACTTGATTGTCACAATCATCCACCTCCATTATGCTGTTCCTCCATTGGGGTACCAAGCCGACTGACAGAGCTATGTCTTTAGGCCCTTCAAAAAGATAGGAGGGTTGGGGCCAACTTCACATCAGGGGACAAGATATTCCAGAGGGCAGGAGCAACAGTAGAGAAGGCTCATGTCCTGGACCCTACCAGCTGGAATAATCAGGTTGAGGGGACCGCAGTATGCCTCCTCTGCCAGCACGAGCGGTGTGGGCCAATCCCAGTGGGGTGAGATGGTCCCTCAAAAGAACCTGGACCCATATCATGAAAGACTTTAAAAGTTACCATCAACACCTTTAATTGCACCCAGAAGCAGATTGGTAACCAATGTAGCTCACGGAGCAGTGGTATTACAGGGGCCAGTCTTGGGACCCCCAAAACTACCCTTGCTGCTGCACTCTTCACCAGCTGTACCTTCCAAATTCTCTTCAAGGTAACACCATGTAGAGTGCTTTACAATAGTCCAGTTGTGAGATGACTAGAGACTGAATGACTTGGCACAGGGAATCCTGATCCAGGAAAGGCCACAACTGGTGCACAACACAAAGTTGTTCAAAGGCTCTCCTAGCAGCAACTGCCATCTGTTCCTTGAACAAAAGTTGTGAGTCCAGGAGAACCCCCAAGTTGTGGATCAGGTGTTTCTGGGGCAGTGCCATCCCATCCAGAGTCAAAGAAGACAAAGTCCTGGATCCAAAGCCTGTACCCAAAGCCATTCAGTCTTGCCAGGGTTCAGTCGAAGCCTGTTTTCCCCCATCCAGGCCCCCATGGCATCCAGGTACCACAAAAGGGTGGCCACAGAATCACTTAGATCACCAAGAGTGGAAATATGGAATTGGGCATCATCAGCATACAATATGATCTCACCCAGTGGTTTCATTTAGATGTTGAAAAGGAGTGGAGAAAGTACTGAGTCCTATGGTACACCACAGAATAGCAGCCGAGGGCTGGATCTCTCACTCCCTCTCAATCCCGATTGGGATCTGCCACAGAAAAAAAAGCCAAACCAGCACAGAATCATGCCACCCAGTCCCAGCAACCAGTCCAAAAGGACATCATGGTTAATGATATTGAAAGAGGTCAAGAAGTGTGAGGATGATTGCACTAGCCCCATGTTGCTCTAATCAGAGATCATCAAAAGCGTGACCAATGCCATCTCCATCCCTTAACCAGGACTTAATGTTGACTGAAAGGGGTCCAGATAATCTGTTTCATACATGATCCTCTGCAGCTGTTACGCCATCATCTTTTCCACAATCTTCCCTAAGACTAGGAGGTTGAAAACTGGATGAAAATTGTCCAGGCAGGTGGGATCCAGTGATGGTTTTTTAAGGAGATGGCAAACCAAGGCTTAAAAGCATCCAGAAATATCCCCTCTTCTAATGATATATTAATCACTCCCCCACTAGTCACCATCCTGGAGGCTTTCACCATCCAATGGAGACAATGATCTAACTGACAGGTGGTGGCACTTACAGCAGCAAGGGCCCTGCCCACTTCATCAGGGCCAACCGAATCAAACTGTCCTTAGAAAACAGGGCAAGACCTCTCCCCTGGCATCTCACATGGAGTATCTCTGTACACAGGGTCCAACTGGGAACAAATCCAAGTGACTTTTTCCATCAGATGCTGAACAAGGAAGATGGCAAGGAAGTGACTAGCAACAAGGGGAAGGCAGAGCTGCTTAATTCATTTGTTGCATCTGTCTTCATGCAAAAGGAAAAAATAGCCCAATTTACCAAAAACAGAATCATAAAAGACAGAGTAGAAATACAGATTAAAACAGGCAAGAAAATAGTAAGACAATACCTGGCCACCCTAGATGCGTTCAAATCATCAGATTCAGATGGATTACATCCCAGATTTCTGAAGGAATTGGCAGATGCAATTTCAGAAGTACATCTACCCAGAGGAAAAATGTAGTGGGGTCAATTCTCTTCAATATCTTCAATCTTGTTAACCTGTCATCTATAAACTATATTAATAACAAAATAGTTAATAAAAACAATAATAATAAACATAATGTAAAAGTATAAAAGTAATAAAAAATTGAACAATAATGACCAAGATATGATTGAAATTCCAAAACCCTCTGTTAACAAACTGTTATTGTAATCAACTTCAAGAAAGTTTACCATGGCTTCAATCCTAAATCATCCCAAATATTAACCCTAATTGATTGCAGATCAAATATCTATGTTTCTTTATACCACCTCTTATCAATTCCTGATTGATTGAATACAATAAGTACAATCTCCAAAGTCAATCTATCTTCCCCCAAAAACCAGATTAGATCATTCCTCAATTAGTTGTATTAAGTTAATTTCCCAGTCTCCTTTAAAAAATCCCATTTGCCACTTGCCCATCCAGTTTTCTGCCATTACTGTATTTTTCAGAGTATAAGATGCTCCGGAGTATAAGAAGCACATTAGTTTTTGGAGAGGAAAACAAGAAAAAAAATTCTGCCTCTGCCTACCAGCATCTATCAGTATTCATTTGGCTAGCATCCTTGCACCAAACAGCCTGGTCAGCTTCAGCACGTTATTTCAGCCTGATTCAGCACAAGAACCTGATTGATGGTTGGATCAGCCGCCCAGAATACCACCAATCAGCTGTTCCAGGTTGCAGGGATCGCCACAGCCCATCACCGCCTCTGCTTGTCATGTTTTTGGCCTCCGCACGTCACATTTTTGGCCTCCACGCATCGCATTTTTGGCCTCTGTACATCGCATTTTCGGCCTCTGCACATCGCATTTTCGGCCTCTGCACACTCCATTTTAGACCCGTTCTAGGCTGCAGGGATCACCACAACACATTACCGCCAATCGCCGTCTCTATGCGTCACATTTCCAGCCTCCACATGTTGTATTTTCGGCCTCCGCTTACCCCGTTTTTGGCCTCTGAGATTGCATTTTCGGCCGGTTCCAGGAAGTGGAGAGCAGCAGCAATGGCAATTGCCGTCACTTGGAACTCGCCAAAAAAACAACATGCGGAAGCTAAAAATGTGACATGCAGAGGCAGCGATCAGCGGCGATGTGCTGTGGCAATCCCGGCAACCTGGAATGGATCTAAAATGGAGCATGCGGAGGCTGAAAACATGACATGCAGAGGCCAAAAACTGCTGAAGGGTGGGGGCCAGCGGGTGGGCAGGGCTTCAGCAACATTTGGTGTATAAGACGCACAGATATTTCTACCCACTTTTGGGGGGGGGATGTGTATCTTATATTTCGAAAAATACGGTATATAAAAGCATAGTGTTAGG